CTACATCACACTTGTCAGCGACCCCAGTGGGTCAAGCAATGCCCTCCCCAAACCCACCTTCTCATCCCCCCTCCCCAAATACCCCTTCCCACTCCCCTGCCCCTTTCTACCCCATTGACTTCAATTCCATCTACTCCATCCCAGCTTCCACTGCACCCCTCTTCCACTCACCCCCCAAACCCCACCCAACCCTCACCTCTCCTATGCACCTCCAGCCCACATTTAACCCCCTCACCTTGTGACCCCCTAACACCTTCCCCCATCTCCCTCTTCCCCTCTTCTACCCCAAAACCCCCACCTACCCCCGATTCCCCCCTAACTAATATACCCTCTCTTCCACTCCCAGCACCCATGCTCCATTCTCATCTCAGCTCTCCGCCCTCCAACCCGTTCTCGCAAATTCGTATAGTCAATATTAACTTATTAAATAAGTGCATAGGTGACATACTAAACATAATAGATACCCTTAAAAAGCTTCATAGAAAACACCGACCTTACCTAACCTTGTTAGTATGTTAAGATAAGCATCTTATAGCTTCGTAATTACAATTGTTACTTAACCTATTATAGGTATAGGTTAAGTAATAATTGTAATTACGAAACAATAAGATGCTTATCTTAAAATACTAACAAGGTTAGGTAAGGTCGGTGTTTTCTATGAAGCTTTTTAAGGGTATCTATTATGTTTAGTATATCACCTATGCACGTAGTTAGTAAGTCAATATTGACTATACGAATTTGCGAGAACGGGTTGCGCCCTCAGTAGCCCTCTTCCCCCAACCTCTCAACCTCTATCTGACTCTCAGTCTCACTCTATTTCTCAACCCCCCTATGCTATTCAGACCCCTAACTTTCAGACCCATTATGCCCTTCCTACCCCCCTAGATGCCCAGACCCCATTCGCCTACCAGGCACTCCCAGGCACCCCCTAGCACCCCCCCACTCACCCCCACAGCCCCCACTTGCCCCCCAGACACCCCCCAGTTCCCCCCAGACCCCTGGTGAAAGGGGGAACTCTGACACCCGAGTTTCCAAGAAGAGTCTCAAGGTTTGGTACACCAATGCTGATGGGGTAGCCAATAAAGCAGAAGAGATAAAAGAAAGAGTTAGTGAGGCAGACCCAGACATAGTGGCAATAGTGGAAACTAAAATAAATGGCATGATCTCGGATGCAATCTTTCCAGAGGGGTACCAGGTGATAAGAAAAGAAAGGACACAGAGACAGGGAGGAGGAGTGGCACTACTAATAAAGCGGAAATGGAAGTTTGATGAGCTGGAAAATCCGGGTACCAATGAAAGCACAAGCTTCATACATGGAACTCTGACAGTGGATGGGAAGAAGATTGTAATCTTGATACTCTACAATCCCCCACCAAACAGTAGAAGGCCCAGGCAGGAGTACGAGGACAGCAACAAGACATGTATGGATGAACTGCAGAGGGCAGCAACTTTAGCGCATAGAATGAGAGCGAAGCTGCTGGTCATGAGGGACCTAAATCACGGAGAGATAGATTGGGAAACGAGGAATCCCCATGGCGGGGAGGAGACCTGGGGAGCGAAGCTGGTAGACGTTATTGACAGGAATTTCCTAACACAGCATGTGAAAGAAGATACTAGGGAAAGAGGAGGGGATACGTCCAGCCTATTAGATCTCATTATCACTCAGAATGTAGAAGACATCGAGCAGTTGGAACATGAAATACCACTAGGAGCTAGTGACCATTGTGTCCTAGCCTTTGACTACATGATGGAGCTTAAAATTGTGACCAAAGGACAAGAGGTCCGGGAAAGGAGACTTGATTACAGAAAAGGGGACTACAGAAGGATAAGGGACTACCTGGGAGAAGTGCAGTGGGAGGAAGAACTTAGAGGAAAAACAGTGCAAGGTATGATGAACCAAGTCATATTGAAATGCAAGGAGGCTGAAGATAGATTTATTCCAACAATAAAGGAAAAAAGCAGGAGGGAATATAATAACCCATGGTTTAATAGACAGTGTCAGGAAGCAAAGGTGAGCAAATAAAGCTGTTGGACCAGACAAAGTATCACCGTGGATACTTAAAGAGGCAGCGCAGGCTCTCAGCGTGCCTCTGGCAATGATCTTCAATGAGTCACTTATGTCGGGAGAATTGCCCAGTTGCTGGAAGGAGGCAAATGTCGTACCGATTTTCAAAAAGGGGGATAGGGAGGAGACACTTAACTACAGACCCGTATCACTGACAAGCATCCCCTGCAAAATACTTGAAAGAATAATTAGGCTAAGACTTGTTGAGCACCTGGAGAGCATTGGGTTTGTAAACAAGCACCAACATGGGTTCTGGACAGGGAAATCATGCCTAACAAACCTTTTAGAATTCTATGATAAAGTAACAAGGATAAGGCAGGACAGAGAAGGCTGGGCAGACTGCATATTTCTTGACTGCCAAAAGGCCTTTGATACGGTACCGCACATGAGACTGCTATACAAACTTGAGAGGCAGGCAGGAGTAAGCGGAAAGGCCCTAGTATGGGTGAAGAACTACCTAACAGGAAGGAGCCAGAGGGTAATGGTAAGGGGCGAAAAGTCGGACTGGCGAACAGTAACAAGTGGAGTACCTCAAGGATCGGTGCTGGGACCAATCCTCTTTCTAATTTACGTAAATGATATGTTTACAGGAGTGGAATCATACATGTCGATGTTTGCAGATGACGCAAAATTAATGAGAAGAGTTGTGACAGACGAGGATTGTAGGATCCTCCAAGAGGACTTAAACAGGCTGCAGAGATGGTCAGAGAAATGGCTACTGGAGTTTAACACCAGTAAATGTAAAGTTATGGAAATGGGATCAGGTGACAGGAGACCAAAGGGACAGTACACATTGAAGGGGAACAGCCTACCTGTAACGATTCGAGAAAGAGACCTGGGAGTGGATGTGACACCTAATCTAACTCCTGAGGCACATATAAGTAGGATAACGACAGCAGCGTACTCTACACTGGCGAAAATTAGAACTTCATTCAGAAACCTAAATGAGGAAGCTTTTAGGGCGCTTTACACTGCCTACGTGAGACCCGTCTTAGAGTATGCCGCGCCATCATGGAGCCCCCACCTGAAGAAACACATAAAGAAACTGGAGAAGGTTCAGAGGTTTGCGACGAGGCTTGTCCCAGAGCTACGAGGGATGGGATATGAAGAGCGGCTGAAGGAACTGAACCTTACGACACTAGAGAAAAGAAGGGAGAGAGGAGATATGATAGGGACATATAAAATACTCAGGGGAATTGACAAAGTGGAAATAGATCAAATGTTCACACGTAATAATAACAGAACGAGGGGACATGGGTGGAAACTGGAAACTCAGATGAGTCACAGAGATGTTAGGAAGTTTTCTTTTAGCGTGAGAGTAGTAGAAAAATGGAATGCACTTGGGGAACAGGTTGTGGAAGCAAATACTATTCATACTTTTAAAACTAGGTATGATAGGGAAATGGGACAGGAGTCATTGCTGTAAACAACCGATAGCTAGAAAGGCGGGATCCAAGAGTCAATGCTCGATCCTGCAAGCACATATAGGTGAGTACATATAGGTGAGTACACACACAGCTGTCTAACTCTCAGGTGCCTATTTACTGCTAGGTGAACAAGAGCTTCAATGTAAAAAAAACTCTTTTGCCCTGGAATCAGGGTAAAAGAAATTCCGCCTGGGATCGAACCCGAACCCTTAGGACAATGATCACAAGGCCCTGTCCACTAAGCAACGAGATGTGTGTGCGCCCCCATTGTGTACTCACCTAGTTGTCCTTGCGGGGGTTGAGCTTTGGCTCTTTGGTCCCGCCTCTCAACTGTCAATCAACTGATATACAGAATGTACAGATTCTGAGCCTACTGGGCTTATCATATCTACATTTGAATGTGTGTGTGTGTGTGTGTGTGTGTGTGTGTGTGTGTGTGTGTGTGTGTGTGTGTGTGTGTGTGTGTGTGTGTGTGTGTGTGTGTGTCAAGATGACACATTGAGTTATATCACAATTGGAAAATAAATTGTCAGAGTTGTAAGCAATTTGTAGTAGAAGTAGCAGACACTTCCTAATGGAGTGCATTAGGCAGTGATGTGGTGGAGGCTGACTCCATACACAGTTTCAAATGTAGATATGATAGAGTACAGTAGGCTCAGGAACCTGTACATCAGTTGATTGACAGTTGAGAGGCGGGACCAAAGAGCCAAAGTTCAACCGTCGCAAGCGCAAATAGGTGAGTACACACACTAGCACTCCAAGTGAGTGTGCACATACAGGTCATTGTTTGCAGACGGCACGAAGCTGATAAGAATGTAAAACTGCAACGTATTTCAGAAACTACAAGAAGTTCTAAAAAACTTCCAAAATGGACAAACAAATGGTTTCTAGAATTATATGCCTACAAGTGTAAAGTAATGAAGATGGGAGGGGAAGAAATGAGATCAGTATGTTTCAACACCATAGGAGAATGACAATTATAGGAATCAGTTGAACCAAATTTTTTTTTAGTTGAAATAATGACCACAGTGTTAAGACACACACAAACGTCGGCAGATTATGAAAAGATGAGAATTATTAAACTTTCATTTACAAACATAAATTATGACACAGAGCAATCTATGTTAAAACAAATCTGGAACTTGCCAAACCAGACCGGAATCCACGCCTTGTGAAGCATAAATGTGTTTAATTTAGTAGAACAGAAATTTTGAAGAAGATTTATACCAGAATTAAAATGGTTAATATATGAGGATTGGCTATGCTAATGTAACAGAACAGACCTAGAGGATAAAAGATGGGATATGATCACAGCATTCAAGATACTGAGTGGGATTAAAAACGGTGGACAATATCTGCTATTTTAAATGTAATGAGAGTAGGACAAACACAAAACACCACACATATGAAGCTTATTGGAGTTCTACGTTGCAATTATTGAGATCATTCAATAAAGAGATGGGTCACCAAAATGTATACTATTTCATCGTAGCGATGAATTAGAATCGATGGCATTGCTGGAAATCATCATAGATGAAGAGCAACATTTATATTATGAAACTCTTCTTCATTGTAAGGTAAATAAGCCATTTAAATTAATTAACAGTAAATAACAGGGGTTTGTACTTCTATAATTTAAAAAGCAAATATGATAAACGAAAAGGACAGGAGTTACTTGCCTCATAAACACAACAGAGGGCTAGAGGGGACCCAGGAACTGAATCTCGGCTTCTGCTAGCCCAGCCAGGTTAGGATTGTTAGGTGAGAACACAACGCGTCGATATTCGACATCGTGGGCCTGCGTCACGCAGCTAAAAATCAAGTAACTGAAAAACAATAGACCATCTGCAAAACCTAAGCCAGCCAGACCTGAAGGAACTAGGATTTCGACCGACTGCTGACCAAAGATGTGAGACGAAATAGTGTGATGGGAAATAAAGTGTGATGGGGAAATAGAGAGAGAGCAAGAAATTGGTTGTCTGGACACTGAGATAGGAAAGGGAGGAATAATTATAACGAGAAAGATAAGGGTGGAGGGAAGGAAGAAAAAACAACATGGAAGTGGATACAGGAAATACGTAATTATTTCTAAAGATAGGGAAAAGAATATATATATATATATATATATATATATATATATATATATATATATATATATATATATATATATATATATGTCGTACCTAGTAGCCAGAACGCACTTCTCAGCCTACTATGCAAGGCCCGATTTGCCTAATAAGCCAAGTTTTCATGAATTAATATATTTTCTCTAATTTTTTTCTTATGAAATGATAAAGCTACCCATTTCATTATGTATGAGGTCATTTTTTTTTATTAAAGTTAAAATTAACGTAGATATATGACCGAACCTATAACCCTACCTAACCTAACCTAACCTATCTATATAGGTTAGGTTAGGTAGCCAAAAAAGTTAGGTTAGGTTAGGTAGGTTAGGTAGTCGAAAAACAACTAATTCATGAAAACTTGGCTTATTAGGCAAATCGGGCCTTGCATAGTAGGCTGAGAAGTGCGTTCTGGCTACTAGACGACATATATATATATATATATATATATATATATATATATATATATATATATATATTATAATATATATATATATAGATATACTAATTGACCCGGCCAGGATTCGAACCCATGCTTTCCAGGATCAACCCTAAACGTACACAGTACCGTGACCACCGCACCAATGATCGTCTTCACGGTACTGAGGAGTTCTTCCAGCTCCTCAGATGGCGGGCACGAACCCTGAATGCAGAGTGCATTTTCCCTCTGTATAGTCACACTGAGGCGCTAGAAAAAGAAGCTGGCAGCTCTAGGGTCTCTTGTTGTTTCAATTAGCCTAGAACCCAGTTCTTAAAAAAAACTGGTGGCATTCTTACCCCAGGCGCCGAGTGTCGCAGAAGCAATGGAAACAAAATTGTAGTGGTGATCCAGTTCTCTGTACATACGGGATTTGCCCGATTCCCTTTTTTTGCAGCGCCACCCGGTTGTACAACACTGAAGTTAATGTAGATGTTAGCTAGAGTTGACATGCACGTTTAGTCCCATACCAACTGCTTGTCATTCTTCCAGGAAGGGCAGCAGTCAGGGGTTCACTGTGATACCATCTGGGTGACCAATAAGAGCATTAGAGTTATGGGTGGTAGGTAATGGGGCTCTCTTTCTGCAGAACATCAAGCTGTGGTGAGGGTCCTATTGATGATGCCGTTAACTTCACTGTACCTCGAGTGCCATCCCCCCTGTGCTTTGGCAGAGTAGGTCATGGTGGCCATACCTGTCAGCCACCACCTGGCTGCAAATACACCCATATTTGGTGTCGATTGGGACAGCAGCAAGGCGGAGGGCCACAGCAATTCGGAGGGCGTGTGGTGTGAAACGTGTGCTGGTTGCTAACAGGAAATCCCCTACATGTGGGGCTGCTAATACTGTGAGGCAAGCAATGCCGTGTTGTGTTGTTGCAGCACCCAAGCACTCTGCAGCAACATGGTATTCAATCCCAGCTGTATTTCTTGTGGGGTTTTGGGGATGGTGGTTGAGGTGATGGGCCTGCACGAGAGGCCCACTCGGTGGAACAGTGTATAAAATTGGGATCGTGTATGCCTGCCAGCTGACGTAAGTAGGCAGGTAGAATTTCCTTCACAAGGTAGTCGGATGCCGAGGAGGACAGGAAGGCTGGTACAGCGATTTGCCTTGCTGTTCGAACTCTGAGGCTAGTTTTGGCTACTGTAGGATGGTGAACACTAAAAGTAGGTTAACATGGGGAGGAAAAGACATCTGGTGACGAGGTAAAGTGCTTCATGAGCAATATCCTCAATCCTTCCATTTATTCTCTTAAGGTCGGCGATTTACTTATCAAGGACCTCATCGATGACTTTCAACCCCAGCTTTCACACTTCAACTTCTAGGAGTGTGGTCTTCAGGTTTAGTTTTTTGGGGGGGATATTTGGCAGAACACCCTCTATTCTCTCTATGATACCCTAGTTGGAACATATTATTTGATACTTAAAAGGGTTCAGGGTGAGGCCTCAATTTGCACCTTGCTCCTAGATTTTCCTGATATCCTTCAGGAGGGAGTCTTAGGAACAAGCTAGAGTACCATCTTCCAAGAACCAGATGTTAAGCTCGCTGGACAGGACTTGTGTGACCTTGTTTGTTGACTAAGCAGAAACGGAGAGGAGCAAGTTGGACACCTTCTCGTGAGTCAATTTGATATTTGCCAAAAAGTAGCTTTAGATCCATACTGTAGCATGAATGTACAAAACAGTAGAGGGAAGGGCAATGACTATGAACCGCACGGAGTACAGCATCCCTCCGCACCAAATTGAAGGCATTTTTGAAATCCAGCTTGATCAGGGCCTTTTCGTCTGTGATGTTGGCGACGAAAGCTCGAGCTGCGTGAGCTGCTGCCTCGCACCCTTGTGGAAAGCCGAACCTGAGCTGTTTTGGCTTTAGCATGTTGGCCGCTGCCTCGCTAACTGTTCTTGCAGCAGCCTTTGCAATGAGACGCCAGAGGGAATTGCCCACCGCTATTGATCTGATCCCTCTATCCTTATTCTTAAGAGCACAGTGATAGATATGGTCTCTGGTATGTTGCCAGCTAGACATGTATTGGTGAATCTGGTTAGTTCCACCAGGAGGGCCTGTGCAATGTCGCCCAGTGCAAGGTTGAGCATTTGTTTGATGTGGTTGGGTTTTAGTCCTGTGAAGCCACCTGCTGATTATGTTAGGAAGGACAAGGCTGCTTTATGGACCACAGATTCGGCCACCCAGAGAGGTTCAGCTCCAATAGCTCCAACTTGTTGAATGTCGTCCTCGTGTGGTGACTGGGTGTTTGTCCCCTAGTATTTTGAGCATTTTTGATGTCTCGAGCCTATACGCCACTGTGACTGATGTTCTGATTTTTGATGTCTCGGATACCTGTTGCCTTCCTGTGGGTGTTACTCGTGCGAGTGGGAAGGCGCACCTGGTTGTACTCCCTGGGAAAATCATTTATAGCTTTGATGACTGAGGCAGCTAAGGCTTTGTCTCTCCTTGCACGGGTGGCTAGACATATGTTGCCAAACAGTTGGAGATTATGCCATGCTTCGGTTGTTCCAGGAGAGTCGTTGCCCTATATCAGGAGGGCGGATAACTTGGCTGTTGCATGGGGCGGGCTGCTACAGGGATGTATTGTAAGGTTCTGGCCGATGTCGTTTTGATAGTTTCTAATATATTATCTACGGAAATTAATCTCTGGGAGTTGTTTTGCCTGACGGACGGTGTGGGCCGTTGATTGGTGTTCTCCCTGGGAGAGCACAGAGCACCCAAACACCCGGTTCCGTTGTGGAAATGATTGCGCACATGACCGTCTCTCGACCGGATACAGCATACCCTGTCACACGTCTGACATCTGCCTTGTCTACCCGCGCTTCATGGCTCATCTTGGCATGGAGAAGCCTGGCTGTCTGTTGAGAGCTGCGACATGGGCGGGCGCTGGGCGGGAGGGTGGACGACGGGTGGAGGCTGGAGGGATGGTCAGCTGGCCATGGCACTTGCCACTCAGATGAGTGGTAATACATTCTGTGTATTACCTGTGTATACAATGGGTGGGTATACACCCACTACACAATGGGCGGGTGCTCCATATATATATATATATATATATATATATATATATATATATATATATATATATATATATATATATATATATATATATATATATATATATATATATATATAAATATATATATATAAATATATAATAGCGCCTCAGTGTCGCGATCCAGAGGGGGAATGCTCGCTGCATCCTCGGTTCCTGCCCGGCGTCGGAGGATTTCGAGGAAATCTACAGCCTCTAGGAAGCGAACTTTTTCTTGTGTCCTCTTAATGTTCATTTTTTGTATAAAATCAGATATGTAAATGTATAACCTTGCATAATAAAGTGTACACCATAATATAAAAAAAGGGGTGGTAGGAGAAGTGAACACTCTTTCGTATCAGAGTTAAATGTCAAGTTTTTCCCTGAATACTCTGTGTACCCTTCTCTGAGGCTGTGGGTCCCTATAATTGCACCAGTGGTGGTACCCCTCTATATATATATATATATATATATATATATATATATATATATATATATATATATATATATATATATATATATATATATAATATATATATATAATGTTGTTGAATATGACCAAAAGGGTAAGAATAATGATTCTAACACGAATCTTTTCAATATTTCTTGCATGTTTTCTTCAGTGCCGGGGGTAATTGAAAAATTAACTCTCTAAAGTTCATTTTCCCATTTTTATATATATGGTCTGACGCCTAAAAGCGTTTCGCAAGGACTTCTCATATTTTCAAGGACGGGTTTACACATATCATTTCATGCTTATATTCGTTTTGGGTGAGATGATATGACACAAATGTTTTTGGGTGAGGTGACAAAAGCCAGAACACGAATCATTGGGAATATTTGTATGTGAATAAACTAAGTTCCAAAGGGTAACGAAGGACACTACAGCCGAATTAAAAGCAAAGGTCAACAAACTGATCGAAACTGTAAACGCCA